CCCCGGACAAAGCGGATGAAGATGGATGGATGGATAGAAAATGTTCCAAAGCTATCGAAAGGAGCAAGGCTGAGTACCCAGGGGAAAGAGGCCATGTGACCATGTTTCTCTGGCCTCCTCTCATACACTACACAGCTCTTTCTCCTCTTGAGCTCAAGATAAACAGGTTTCTATACAGAAACAGGATTGTGGCAGTCTGGACGTTACAGGTTGAGGCTGATTTAGAATGATACCGATTCACTGACATAAACATGGAGCTACGAAGAAGTTTAAGTTTAATAAACTCCTACAGTGATCTTGCATGGACACTTTTTCAAATTCTTTTTGGCCTTTTACTTAGACAGTGAAGAGCAGACAGAGAGAGAGAGGGAACAACCCCTTTCCCCCATTCATTCAATATATTTTTGGTTTTCTTTAACGAAACTTTGCTGTGTCTGGTCTCATCATTCACACCATCTGGGCTCCATAGCACTTTTCCTTCTGCGCATCAGTCAGTTAAATTCACCCACTGCAGTAAAACTAGCCCTTAAATAACTTTGTGTTACATGTGGCGAGTCGGCCTGATGTGTGAATGAATGGGTTTTGTGTTATTTAATTGGGTATTTTCTGTGTTTTGAAAGATCTGCGACCAAAAAAACAAGAAGTTTATTAAGAAAAGTGGTGTCAATGTTGCACATCCTGTCATTGTTTCAAAAGATTTCACCTGGCTGTGAAAAATGAAAAAAAGAACAAGCTAAAAAGACCAAGTCAAACAGTAAAAACTGGAAACCAGCAGCTCAGAAACCCATCAAGCTGAAGAGGGAGCACCGACATGCTGGTTGGTGATTGGTCCAGAGAACTCCTGAAGTCCTGCTGGACAAAGTCGCTGCACTTACCTAAACAGGTGAGATTGAGGATGGTGGTAGAGGGTAACAGTCGTAAACAGTCCCCCAACTTAGATCCGGACTGAAAGCAGTCAGGTCTGATCGACCATACGAGTCTCCGTGGGGACTTTCTCTCTTGTACAGAAACAGCAGAGCCACAGTCCAGATGTTCACAGACCACAGCTGCTTTCTTCAGGGTCCAGTTATAGAAGTCTACTGGTCTCCATTCTCTCACGTGCTTCATCTCCAGTGTACCTCCACAGTGACTGGCTTTTCCCACCAACCTGACTTCATCAGGCTCTGAACAGGAAGCAGAGTCATCAGTAAAGAAGAAGGTCAAACGTTGCTGCTGATTCTGCGTTTGTGATTATTTATTTCTCTTTGACTCCGTTTACCTGCTGAACTCTGATTTCTCTCACTGATTCCTGAGGAGAAAATCAGAGAAGAGCCATTGATAAAAGTAACGCGTTACTGTAATCCGATTACTTTTATGAAGTAACGAGCAATGTAAGGGATTACTATTGCAAACAAGTAATTAGATTACTGTTACTTTCGCATAAGCACGCTGCGTTACTGCGTTACTAAACCATGATCAACAATGGATAATATGGAGCGATGGAGAGAGTACGGCTGTGCAGCGTTTAAAGCTTGGAAGTACTCACATTACTTTGAGTTTGACCCTGTAAAAGTGACACAAACATTAGCGTCCGCTGTTCCCTGCGTGGGAAGAAAACTTCTTTTTACAGCAAAAACCCCCCAAACATCCGAGCAAGCACCGAGTAGCTGCCAGGGAGAAGGATCCAGCTTCTATGCAAGGGGAGGGAGGGTCTAACAAATGCTGTGCCTTTAAAGTTATGTTTTTATTATACTTGTTATACATTCCAGCCACCCATGTCTATGAACTATATAAGAAAAATGTGGAAACTTCTTCACAAATAAAATTTTAACCATTAGACAAAAAAGGACTCATAAATCATCTCACGTAATCAACGAGAGCGTGATGTAGACACAGTCTGCAGCTCTCGCTGAAACCTCCGGCACATTCTCACTCACAGAAACACATCTTTGGCAGTGATGCACAAGCTAACCACACAAGGTAAACACGCCCACAGCACAGAAAGGAAGTGTCTCACACCTCGAGTTTTTTCTTACATTTAGTTTGGTGCTCCTCACATACTTAAATAATCAGGCCCCATCTTATCTCAATGACCTTGTAGTACCATATCACCCTATTAGAGCACTTCGCTCTCGCTCTGCAGGCCTACTTGTTGTTCCTAGAGTATTTAAAAGTAGAATGGGAGGCAGAGCCTTCAGTTTTCAGGCCCCTCTTCTGTGGAACCAGCTTCCAGTTTGGATTCAGGAGACAGACACTATCTCTACTTTCAAGATTAGGCTTCAAACTTTCCTTTTTGCTAAAGCATATAGTTAGGGCTGGACCAGGTGACCCTGAATCCTCCCTTAGTTATGCTGCAATAGACATAGGCTGCCGGGGATTCCCATGATGCATTGAGTTTTTCCTTTCCAGTCACCTTTCTCACTCACTATGTGTTAACAGACCTCTTGTAACAGCAGTCTGGCGAGGAAGGAGCGACTAGCAGGTCCAGCAAGCGTGTGGTGTGGGGGTTAGCTGAATAACCCGAAGCCAGTCGGTTAAATCAAACAACAGACCTTTATTCATTATCAGCAACATAAGACCATACAAGCCAGGTCTCCACGGCTCTACTCTGTCCGTACATACATGTGCGGGGTTCGGTAGTCGCCGGCGCCAGGCCGTTACAACAGTAAGGTGTTTCCTCGGAGACTGGAACATGAGCAGCATGGAATGGCTGCCGCTAACAACACCACACCCACTAGGAGACTCCAACAACTACTACAATAGTAGGGCAACCCCCCCTAGTGGTGCTATAACCCAAAAGGGTTGTTACGCTCTCTGCATTGAATCATATCTGTTATTAACCTCTGTCTCTCTTCCACAGCATGTCTTTATCCTTTCTTCCTTCTCTCACCCCAACCAATCACAGCAGATGGCCCCGCCCCTCCCTGAGCCTGGTTCTGCTGGAGGTTTCTTCCTGTTAAAAGGGAGTTTTTCCTTCCCACTGTCGCCAAAGTGCTGCTCATAGGGGGTCATATGATTGCTGGGTTTCTCTCTGTGTGTGTTATTGTAGGGTCGACCTTACAATATGAAGCGCCTTGAGGCGACTGTTGTTGTGATTTAGAGCTGTATAAATGAACTTGAATCTTTTCTGTGTCCGCTCCGTTCATCTTAGCATTTGTGTTTTCACTTCGTGTTTTTGTTGAATAGTGAGGCAGCACGTAGACTGGAGAGACTTGAGTTCAGTGACGTAAACACTGGTCTTTTATTTGAGTGGGAGTATCCTGTCAGAGTGGGTGCAGGATTTCAAACTACTGTGTGGTTTCGATCTTGAAGAATTAAAAGTTGATGATGTGTTGACTGTTTTAAACTTGAGAGTTTTCTCTTTTTCTTTCCTTCGATGTGATTTTCATTTACGCTCTAAATAAAGCTCACAGCCCATCTTTTAACAGATTTAACTGAACATCTTCCATCCATCCATACTCTGTCATTTATCCAGTTCAGGGTCAATGCGGGGGTGGAGCCTATCCCAGCTACCATAGGGCAAGAGGCGGGGTACATCCTGGACAGGTCACCAGCCTGGCGCAGGGCTAACACAGAGAGACAGACAACTGTTCGCACTCACATTCACACCGATGGGCAATTTAGAATCACCCATTAACCTAACCCCACTAACTGCATGTCTGTGGACTGTGGGAGGAAGGGAGGGAACCCACGCAGCACTGTGCATCTTCTTTATGTGGGTTGTCCAGAATAACTCAGGATAACAACTACCTCTAAACTTGGACGTTAACATATGCATTCACATTTTTCTCAAAGCATTAAAGAGGAAGCTTTAATCAGTAAATCTAAATATTTACTGCAACTCGTGTTGTTAAAGCCGAGTCCTACCTGAGCTCCACAGCAGCAGCAGCAGCAACAAGTGATCCATGTCCAGGCCAACGTGTCTCTGATCTGATCGTCACATGTGCCGTGCTCGCCGTATATCTGCAACAGGAAGAGGGGGAGCTTCACTCCTCTCTCTCTATGTTAGAGAATTGTGGATTAATATGGTTGTCATTGTGCAGGGAGGCCAAAAAGAGCAGATTTGTTTTCAGCTTTTAGTCGTTTTCCATTGCAAGCGTTTGGTTTTTAGATTTAGCACGAAAACCTTTGTTTTTACACCTGGTTGGTTGAAAGGTTGCGCCATATATGGTGTAGCAGGAAATGTCACACACACACACACACACACACA